GCAGTTGAGGCTTCATGATGGATTAAAACCATTCAATTCTTAGACAACTTTTACATATCCAACAGGAAAACACATTTATTTATGTAATCACAAGATTTTTCTTTTTTCTTTCAATATTCTACATACGTTGCATTGCACTGATACCCGTAGTAACTGTATAAATATTGCAAATAGTGTAAACTGTGTTCTGTGTCTTTCCTGCTCTCTCCTTCCCTCTGTCCCTGTCTAATCTTTCACCTACTTTTAAAACTAGTGGCCCTAAAGTGTGTTACAAATAAATGAACAGATACAATTATATTTTTTATTTTAAAACCAAAAAAGAATAAAAATAATGTGGAAATTCAAATCAACATAATAGGAAATTATTGATGGTTAATATATTGCATATTGTTATCCTGAAAATAGTTGCTCAAATTACAAGATATAGGAATGAAAACAAATCAAACAATGAAAGTGAAAACTGTTCTTTTTGATGAACTAACAGATTAGTAGTGTAACTGTCACATACATAATTTTTTAATTTCTTTTCTCCTTTCTTCCATCCCAGTTGTTCTTTTCCTTTGAGCAGTTTCTTCCCCTTTCACTTTTGTAATACCTATTGTTCATCTTGGGTCTTACTTTACATTTTTTTACACTAGGGAGACAATGCAATGTTTACACATGTGAACCTGATTTATTTCACTTATGAGTATGGTCTCAAGTTGCCTCCATTTACCTACAAAAGCCTTGGGTTTGTCCTTCTTTATAGCTGAGTTTACTGCTCCATTGAATAAAAATATCCCATCTTTTGTCTTCTGTATCTACTCCTCAGTTGATGGACATTCAGGTTGTTTCCAAGAGTTAGCTATTACAAATTGTGCTGCTATAAACATGGGTGCATATATACATATATGTATCTATATCTATATATCTGTGATATGATGTTGTCATTTCTTCTCAGAAAATACCAAGAAGGGAAACAGCTGAATCAAATGAGACTTCCATACCTAGTTTTCTAAGGAATCTCCACACTGATTTCCACAATGGTTATATCAATCTATATTCCCACAAAGAGTGGGGAAGCACTCCTTTTCCCACAGCCCCTCCAATATTTGTTATTGGTTGATTTCTTTGGAAAGCTATTCTTTTTGGAGTGAGATGCTGTTATTTGAATATGCTTTTCTCAAATAGACAGTGATGTTGAGCATTTTTTTCATATATTTATGTTTCATTTTTATTTCTTTATCTGAAAAGAGTACATTCATCTTAGATGTTAATTTTTATATTGTATATTTGAATTTTGGGGGTCTGAGTTTTTTTTCAATTCTTTATATGTTATAGATAAAAGTCCATTGTCTGAGGGACAGTTGGCTACATTTTTTAAAACATAAATTTAATATATGAAATACACTTTATGTGACTTCTGAATTTAGGACTCTGGATCAAAGCCAACATCCTTATTTTTTGGTCCTATCTACCCAGAAACAAAGTAGGGGCCATATCAACACAAAAACTTTCTATAAGCTAGTAATGTAAAACTAGAGGCTAGGATCTTCACATCACCTAAGATTCTATGTGATATAACCAGACTATTAAGAATCAGAATGTGGATCTAGATAAAATAATGCACTAAAATATTTCACAGGAAAAGAAATTGAGAAATAGAGACACAAATGGAAAGCTTTATGCAAAATGGATTAATTAATGCTGGCTCCAAGTATCATTTCCCGGAGAAGGCATTCTCAATTACATTTCTCTTCTGTGTGTCTTTAACATTTTAGAGATGGCACACAGAACATTTTAACAACGATCCTTTACAAGTCAGTGGCTCCAGACTACACAAGGAAGACCCAAAAACAAAACCATAGTTTCACATCCCTTACAGAGTGGACAGCTGTTATGAAAATATATAACCTATAGTGGACACATGGATGCATGAACAAATGAATCAGTGAGTTATTGTTATATCTAATTCAAAGAATGGCTACATGGGAGAAAAATACATCACACTCTCTCCCATAACTTTTCCTTATTATTCAGAAAATAGTGTTCAATAGAATTTCATTAACTGTCTTCATCCTGATATTTTATGGATATGTTTCTCTAATCAAATATATACTTACAGGGTGACTAAACTAAAAAGTCACCACTGCGGAAACTCTTGCAGTGTCAAATATTACAGTTTTATCAGAGAATATATTTTGTATTATCTTGGACAGTCTTCTCATATTTTTCCAAGTAAGATGTCATTTTCTACATCTTATTTAGAAAATAGAAGCCACTGAAGCAAGAGAAATTAAATCTTCAGTAAACTTTTAAGAATATTTATATACAGTCCATGATTAACGAGAAAGTAGATTTTGAGCCATTGTCATGATAAAAATATACCCAAATAGAATATAAATTTAATAAACTTGAATTCATGAAAAAGACAAAACAATAAGCAATAAAAACTAAAAACTTTATATTTTCAAGGAACTTTGATATATAGATTCTTGATCTTTACAAGAATTCAGGGCATTTATTTTTCCTTTAATTAAAAAAATAATTTTAAAAAGGGGGAGATTGAGATAAAAGAGGACATAACACAGGTCAGAACAGAACAATTTAGCATAACAACAAAGGTCAGAACAGAACAATTTAAGCAACATAGTGTTTCACCACCAGATAACCTGACATAGTATCAGTTACCAGAGTGTCTCTTTCCTTGAAATATTTGAGTATAACTTCCTATACTGTAGCATCAAACATATCAAGACAATGTGAAACCATTCAAGAGAATGAAAGTATTATAGGGTATTTAGAACCAGCTAAAAGAAAACAAACAATGGTTACTATATTATTTCTTTGCCTATAAAAAGTTTTGTTTATACTATCACATATAATAAAATCCAATAAGATACAATATGATAAAACAATGGAGACAGAAGAACAGCAGGATATATTATAGTAACTTTTTTTGTTTTCCTATTAACCTGATTTGAACCCCTGTATTGCTCTCACCATCTTGTATTGACTGATTTTACTCTTTCCTGTTTTGTTTGATAGTATCAAGTTTGAGGGTTTAGGCAACTACTTTGATAGCAATAAGATTCACTATGATGCCCATTTTAGTTTGACTATTACCTTCTTTTAAAGTCCTGTAAGGTCTCCAATGTTTAGGTTTTAATGGTTTTGTTCTGTTCTGTTTTGTTCAATTTTATTATATCTGATGATATAGGCAACTCTTTTTAAGATAGCAAGAAGTATTATGGCAACCATTGTTGATCACCTTGTATTCTGTTTTTACATCATATACTATATCCATCGTTTTGTTTTGACTGACTCCATTTTGTTTTGTCACATTTGGTTTTATTCTCCTCAAAAAAAAAGTAATAAGAACTGTGGGAGTAATAAAACCCAAAATGTGTAATTGTTATCGCAAAAAAGAGAGGAAAAGAAAGTGCTCTAAAGGATATAGCTGCATGTATGTTTAAGTGTGTAAGATAGAAAACCATATTACTAAGTTTTTGTTGGATCATTGAACACAACTGTTTGCAGTCTCACTGTTTGAATGTCCACTTTGTGTGCTTTAATTTTGTAACTTGAACAACTATTTCTAAGATGACAATATGTAATCTATTAACTAGTGACTTTTTATTGTTTATTTTTTTGAAATTCTGTATTACTTGTACCCTTTTACAGTTTTGTTTTGTTTTTCCTCTTTAAACAAAAAAAAATTTAAAAAAAAGACTTCAGTGTATTATTTCCAAGTCATAAACTGAGTCCAAGTAAGTTAAATGTCTTACTTGCATTTCTGCAAATTATAGGGGATGGAGTTGAAACTACAGCTCAAGCTTCGGATTCACAGTCTGTTTCCCTTACCGTCTTAATTCAATGTATGTTTACACATCAATTTTTTGTAAACAAATGTAATATAGCTATACATTTCATATATATTACTATTAAAAAGTTCTATTTTTAGTAATTCTCTGAAGAAATGTTACAATGCATAAATTTTAAGTTATTTATGCATAAGCCAATACAAATAGAAAGGAATATTATTAGAACTCACAATATCATGGCATTTAAAAATCAATTTGTCTCAATTGATGGAGAATCCAATTTAGGTTAAATAACTGTTTATGAAATTACTTCAAGATTTATTGGAAGTAGCATGATAACTCATCAACTATAGTGAGCTTGCAAGAATTTGAGTAGAAAAGTTAATTAACAATAATTTTAAAACTGCCAAAAGCTGCTGCAAGTTCACTAATATTCTGCATATATAGCCACATGTGACTTTCAAAAAGAAAGTCATTCCTGAGTCTGTTTACTTTTATGTCTTTGAATCCATTATTAAAAATTAGTGAGGAGTATTGATTTGGATGGTTTAATAATTCAAAATGGTTAAAGGCAACAGCATTTCTTGGATGGACACATATTTCTTATTACTGCTTATTACCATATTTAAGTATAATGACTCAATTAATCCAGGCATGGTTTCCCAAAGCAAATTGAAATGCAATTATCAAAACAGTAAGCTGCTAGAATCAGTAACTTAAAACTTAGGCAGAAGATTTTACAAAGTGATATAATCAATATTGCATTCAAGATGCTATACAGTGGTACTAATTTGCCACATAAAACACAGACATTTTATTACATTTTTGAAGTGAAAATCTCCTCATGTGTTATTGGTTGTACTTTAAATAACTTCTTTGCAGCATATATGCGATTTTAAAAATAGCTTACAGTTATACACTTTGATGACATCTGTTACTGTTAGGTAAGAGGAAATTATGACTAATAAAGGCTGGGACTTAGTAATACTTAGCGAGAAGGAATAAATGATCTTATGAACAAACAATTGTTATATATCCATACATGATTCCTGTTCACAAAACTATTCACAGCCATCACATATATTTATCAAATCTCCCTTTAAAGTATTAAACAATTATTCTCACATCAGAGTTGTCTCCACATTTGCTCATCCCTCCTCCTTTTATACTGAAGAAAACAGAAATCTATGAACATACCTCTGATGGAGAAAATCATACCATAGAAGACATTCTTGGGGTCTCTAGCAGTTATCCATTTTGGAACATGACCAGTTTTCTCCATGATCCTACACAATTCTTTAATTCAGAATTACTGGCTTTAAAATGAAATTCACAAAGCTATGAATTTATTTCAAGTAAAGACTGAGGCTGTAATCAAGAACTACCTTAAATCAAAAGAAAATCTAGTTTTGGCTAATGGTGCACTGAGCTTTGTTTCTTTCTTCTTTATCTCGTTCAGTATGAAAGTGCTATTACATCCAGCCACAGTATAAGAATGACCACAAAATAGTTTTCTACTCAAAGAGACTTCTCCTTGGTTGGCAACCAAGACAGCAAGGATAGCATTTTCTCCCACTCACAGCTTTAAAACTGAGAGGAAAATGTGATGTGCTGAATATAATGAGAACATCACTCAAATTTGATAAACTTGCTAAAAAATTAGTGTTCTTACTTTCCTTTAAATTTCAATTCATAGTATGATGACCATTGTTTCCTACAAGATAAAATCTATACCAAGTGAAAAAACAATTCTGAAATTAAAATATCATTTTGAGTCTACAAAATTTAAGAAATATTTTCAAAAATTATGTGTAAAAGGTGAGATAATAGAAAAATAAGGATAAAATTGATAGATAGTTTCACATGCCCTACCTCCAAGTCCAGTTTCCTAACGTGACCTAAAGACTCTGATCTGTATTAATTCTTCTCCACCTTCACCAACACAAACTTACATATTCAGTAGCTGTAATGTTCCACCATGAAGATCCTCCTTCAGAAATGAAGACCTTGTGGCCCCAGCTGTTACAAACACAGCTGTGAGCTGGTTCTCAGCCATCAGTTATCTTTGAGATTAACTCAGCTGAAGAAAATTGCTTCTTCAAAGTTCATGTCTTTTTCTAGGGGTATGAACTCATCAGAGTGGTAAAATGACCTGGCTTCCTTGATCTAACTCAAAAGAAATTTAAAGCAGTATCCTTACCTGCATAGGGTAGTAGGAATTCATAAAAGTACCAAGAATAGCCTTCACATTGACCTAGCCTAATATTTACTTTGTCTTATGCCTTTATTTCTTAGATATTTAGGGTCCCAACTAGCCTAATGAATATATAGAGCTGGTGAACAATTTCAGCTATCACTTCTCTGAGAATAACTTAAATTTTTCTCCCTTTATGAAAAATATTTTTAGTAAATATAAATTTAAATGTAATGGCTTTTTCTTTCAGTACTCCAAAGGTGATTTTCACTAGCTTCTACTCTTAATTATATATATATATTGTATGTATAATATATATATATATGTATATATATAACTACTTGTATCTTTTCCATTTAGCCAAATTTGAAATATGTCTCTATTTTTCTAACTACATGTAAATTTCTATTTTACCTGTATGTTTCAACATGTTGACTATGATATGCTTAGATAGTGCTGTTGTGATTGTTTGCACTTTTTCAGCCTGAGATTTGTTGACATTTTTGCCATGGTTTGATTGCTATCTTTTGTTCAGTTTTTCAAAGTCTCAGTCATTCCCTTTCAGAGACTTGTTTTTACCTTTTACTCCATGAATTCCATGGATACATGTGGTAATGTGTTTCTTACCAATTCGTGTATCTTGAACATTTTATTCTTTTGCACTTCTGTTTTTCAGTTCTTGTTTCAATTTGTGTACTTTTATCAACCTCTTTTCTATTCCACTGAATATTGCATTTGCTGTGGTCAGCTGAAGCATATGTATTAATCATTCCATGTTAAGAGCCAGTTAATTTAAATATCATTATCAGATAATTCTAAGTGTAGGCCATCTCTTTAATTATGTCTATTGATTGGTGCATTTTTAACCTTTAGTCGTATGTTTCTGTATATTCCCTCCTTCCTATCTTTCCTCTTTCCCTTCTTCCTATTTCCCTCCTTTTCTGTCTTTGCTCTTCCTCCTCCCCACCTCCTGATAAGTTTTTATATGCTAACCAGTTTTAGTAGACAGCAGTTCAGTATGAGGTAAAGTATTCAACCCACAGCGGGGCGCCACAATGATAAAGATGAGTCACTCTGATCTCGAAGGAGACCATACCCAAGCTTCCTAAAATTTTAGCTGTACTATATTCACCATAGACTTCAAATATTTTTAGGGAAAGATCGAGATATTTGTCTCAAAAGAGCCTTGCCTTTGTGAGATTTCAGAGATTTCCCCATGTTTCAAACCTACCCTCTGTGCTCCTCTCTCCTTGGGTCCCAAGCTGCATCCTATTTCTTGGATAGCAAAGAAATCGATTTTCCTCTCCAGTCAGACTCCTTGTGCTCTGAGTCAGTCCTTGGACAATCACCCTGCCCTCATCCCCACCTCCACTCCCAGTCTTCTGAGACAGCAGCCCTCAGACTTCAGAAGGCCTGAAGCGCCTTGAAGTTGCTCCTCAGCCACCCTCCCCTCCTGGGGTTTGGCTGTCAATCTCTGTGTCTCAGGGGGTGGCTCGCAACGCTTCTGCTTTCCTCCTTTCTGATGAGGATGGTAGCAGCCTTGTACCTACTTCACTGTCCTTTGTCTCTTCTTGGTTCTCAGTAAAGACCTGTGAAAAAGAATTCTCAAAAAGTGGGCACTTTCTCTGTGACTAAAGAGTCTGATCTATCATAGGAGTCCACATTTTGACATTAAAAGTTGATTGTAATTTTGACTGATTTCTCCTTTCCTGGTCTGTGGTATATCCCTCCTCTTTGACATTTTCACCAAAGAAAAGAGTAGCTGTGGTTCTTTTCTTCCCTGAAAAGGGCTCCTCAGCAGCTGAATTTGGGTTCTGTTGGATTTTTATTTCAAATAGATCTTAAAAACCTATCACTTTCAAGTGTATCTTGCCTTTTTGGGTCACCGGGCAGAAAATTATTATTTCGTGATTTTATTTTTTATTTATAGAATTATTTTTCTATTGAAAATATTCTCTTCATGAACTGAAATACACTGAAACATATTTTAAAGCCTTTAGATTCACTCTATACGATATTTATTTTTTTAAAATATTAAAATTCTCAATTGTTTTCATCTTTTTTGAATTATCAAGGATATAGCTAGAAAGATTAATTATTAGGCCTAGGAAAAGTTACATTACTAAAGAAACATCACACTCAACCATAATTGCTGTCCCTAAATCAAGTTTATAATGAATTAATAAAAACACTCATTTAAGCTTTTCTTGCTAGATCATAAGACATTTTTTTGGTATACATTTAAAGAAATGTCTCCTGTAATAGAATAAATTTAACTATTAACAAAACAATTAATCCACCTTTAATAATACTGAAAATGAAAGTATTGTACTATATGTCTGTCAATGCATAATAATCACACTAGGGTATAATTCACACTAATATTAGTCACTCTAAGATCTTTAGAAGCTGATTCTGATGTTCCCATAATAATTTCAGTAACCAAACTTGCTAGTTCACAAATCAAATTCTTCATTTAGCATGCAAGTTAGTAAGAATTCCAGAAATCAGCGACGCACACTATTTAGATGCTATAACTCCTACACAACACGAAACTCATTTGTCCCCTACCCTCCTTTGCATGATATATGGTAACACCTCTGCCGCTGACAGTGTGACTGTTTTGTGTTTCTCATAATAGTCTTAGTCTCATATCTATGTGCATCAAGAACATACATGCCAATTTTTTTCTACTATCACAAATTAGGTTAATATATTTCTGAATTTAATGATGATTTCATAACTCATTATTGGATTCCTCAAAATGATAATGCCTCATATACAATTCTCCTCTAGCATTCTGGAACAACTTGTGACACATTTTCTGTGATGACTGCTTTTCCATTTATCGTATTTTATTTCTCCAAAATATTGGGAGCTCTAGATCAAGGTTTTCATATATTCCAATAATAAAAAAGAATTTCTCATATTAACACCCTTTATGAAGTATCATAAGAAATGCCAATTAAGAGGAGAAAATAATTTTTTAAACATTTTTCTTTTGTTCTACCTTCTTGCACCTTGTTAGATACAAACTTCATATAGAAAGTTGAGTTAAATGCTGGTCTCCTGCCTGCTCTCTGTATTTTTGCAGTGACTAAAGATGAGTCCACACTGACACTCTTGCCACACACGCAGGAAACCATTTGCAGCAACTGGTTAACATGTCTTATTTTCTCTTTAGTAATCTCTTTGGTATAGGTAATAGACTAAGTTTCTGTATCTTAAAGAAACACAATCACAGATGTTCTGTTGTCTGTTGAAGACAAAGATTAAAAATTATATTGATCCAAGACCAAACATTTTATTAAAATGTATTGTTGCATTCTCATGTGCATCTCTTGGATGCCCTATGAATTCCAAAGAGGGAACATGTACCACACTGTTGTTTATGAGCAAAGTTGAACCTCTTTTTTGAAATGCCTTTATCATGTCCTGACTTAATTCAAGTTTGATTTAGGAAGGAAGAAGTAGTCCCACTGACAGATAACCATTTGTGATAGTCATCCTTGTGATGGGCATGTTTCTCTCCTTTACCTGCAGAGGAGCTGACAGCTCCTTCCTGTAAACAGCCCCACACTCCCATGGGTTATGAAAAGGAGGAAGTGGTCACCTCTCACCATTGCAAGACCCAGATGCTGCAGCTCACTCTCCTTGTGAAGGTCAAGGGGACTTTGAGCACAAAAGATGTGGCGCAGAGCTTGGAAATACAGATCAGGTTTACAGCTATCAATAGCTATAGGATATAACTCTCCCCATGATTGTACTGATGCATTTACTGTCATTTCTGTTGCCTGCCCCATCAGACCTACCAGAATTCCTTTCTATATTCCAGTTTATTTGTAGTGTACCCACAGATTCTATGAATTTCAATATCCTTTAAATAAAATCAGACTTAGTTTTTGTTGTTTTCAACTATGTTTGTATCCTTTAAGTTTATGGTTTTGAAAACGTACATCTACAATTTTAAAAAAATTTAGATGCATCCAAGTCAGAAGCTTATAATGTGGTTGACTTGAATTCAGGACTTAGTAATGAACTAGATGACTACAAGACAAGCACCTACTCTTATTCTCAGGAGCATAATGTCCACATCTGTCTTCTTGCTAAGGATTAATGTGCTATACAAATGCTATAGAGAGTAGGTTCTGTTTTGGTGTGCATGCTACTCTCAACCTCTTCAAATCGTTTTTGCTGTAGATATTCCTTACACTGAAAATTAGCTGTTTCTAGTTTACACATTTAAAAATTCATTCAATTAATATTAAGGTTCTGTA